TATTATCCTAAAGATATCTTAAAGCTTCATATTTGGATGTATCATGATAACTAAACTCAATATTGGAGGAATGTGTATTTAGGCCTCTAAATGTGTAGGAGTAAAGATTTTAAATAAGTGTGGATTTTAGGTTTTCCTAAAACTTGTACTAAGAAAAGGATTATTCGCAAATTCAGATAAGTTATCTAATTCTATAAGTACTACAATTTTAAAATATGACGATTTTTCTATTACGCGTCATATGGATTTGAATAGTTGTAGTAATAATCAAAAGATATAGAATAAATATATATAGGTCTTGCCAGAGTCGATTATTAAGCTAAAACTAAGTTGCAATAAGAGGAAGCTAGCGATCTATTAATAAACGCACATTAATAGCCGTTTATATGGTTAAACTCAACACAAAAATAAAAATATACAAACATTGAAGATACGGATTACTTTTATTTAATTTATCCGAATTAATCACGAAATTAGCCATATAATAAATATATTTTTAGCTAACAAAGAAACTGCTTAGAATAAGATTTACCTTTAGCTCTGCATTGATGAGATAATAATTAAGAAGTGTTTTTTGTTTTAATCAGAGCCAAGACTTATATATCTAATTCGCACAAATCAATTGGAAGCACGCCCTGCCTAGTAGACGCAACTCCTTTAATTAGAAATACAGTCTATCCAAATGATGTTGAACCTGTTTTTCATGAAACTTCGGATGCATCAAAACTAAAAGTCAGAGATGAAGAGGAAAAGGAGGAAAGATATTACCAAAGTGACAAAAACAAACAGGAACACCAAAAAGATACTTATTCAGCCTTGCAAAGCAAACTGCCAAAGATAATAAATAGGGCAAATTATACAATGGATGTTCCTAATCAAATTAGCCGTGCAGAACCAAGACATTGTTTTCAGGTCTCTTCCAGATCTATCTCCAGGTCTAGGTCTTTCTCGCAATCATGCATCAATCCAAGATTAAAAACGAAACAGTTATCGAGCAAGCCTTTTACCGGTGGGGTGACTGCAATTACTGCCATCGCCGCCACCGCAGCAGCCAAGGCTGCCGCGGCCGCAACGGTCGTCTCGAAAGCAAAGTTTAGAACCTCTTCTTCCTCCACATCATCATCCTCAAGTGATTCCAGCTCTTCGTTGAATGGAGATCCTGATATGAGTTTGATGGGGCCCCGTGTATTTCAACGTAGAGGAGGTGGAGAAGTCCAGCCTCCAGGCGCTCCTGGGGGTCCTCGTGGTCTTGGGCCACAGCCACTAGTACAAAAAGCAAACTTAACAGGAGGCAACATAAGTAAAATGCGTGGAAATGTAAACGCTCAGCGGCTGCACAACCGAAATATTGGATGGCGTCTTGGACGCCGAAAAGAGTTAAATGAGCGAAGGCGACGTATTTCTGACTATTCACTTTCGTTTGCGCTTTTTGGGCTAGCTGTTATGATACTTGAAACCGAGATGACGATGAACAGTATTTATGGAAAAGTAAGTTATAAATATATTAGATTTAAGACATTATTAATTGCACTTTGTCATATTTTCAGCTATTATAACGAGTTTGATATTTAAAATGCCTATTATTTATATAAATTATTATAGATTTAAAGGGATTTACGAAAAGTAATATACATATATACTTAAGCTTTATAGTTAGTTTTCAGTAGATAGATCGAAAGGAAATGAAATTGTGCATAAATTAAAATATGGAAAAATAATTGTTGAAAGCTTATTCGATTTTTATGAATTTATAAAACAAAGTCTCTACAATAATCCATATTTATTATATTATGATAATAATTTATCCCAGAAAAGAAGATATATTGGTACTAGAATAAAGAGTATTTAGTGACCTTTTGGTACCGATTGCACTTAGACTAGGTCGAATATGCTTCAAATTATGAATTTTAAAACTTTTGATAATGTAATGCGGAATTCAATCTCATCATGGGATTTGGCTATTTATATAAAATTCTACTAAAGAAGCTATACCATTTTTATTGATTTAGGATTATTTAAAGTAAAGTAAGATACATTAAAGCAGCAAGGTGTTCATGAATAATTAATAATTTAGAAAAAATATGCCAAAGATTTTTACGACGTTTGTGTACAATAAGTTTAGCAAAAGTAATATGTATCAAATTTATATATTCCTAAGAGAATAATTTCATATTGTGTTTTTGTACAGTCACTTGCATAACCAATTTATAAAGCTATTTTCAATATATCTTAAATAATAAAAATTTTGAAGATGCAGATTTTCCTGAAGTTTGTAATATAATAGATTTTAACTTGAGCGCAATAGCATTTATATATCTTAATAATAGGAAAATGTTTGGCAGTTTTATTTGTAAATACTAGGCTATCAGTAAGTGCAAATGTCATTGAAATAAATGTAATAAGATTCCCCAAAGTGTTACCTATTTGTATGGCTTTAAACATTGTTTAAATTAGTTAAAATAAAAAAGTCAAATATGGGAATGTTTTAAGATAGAAAAAAAGTTGATAAGTCTTCTTAAATTATTGTTAACTTGAGG